CTATACTTGGTTATTACTATCTTTAAATGATAATTACATATCGTCCATCAAATTGTTCGAGAGATGATAGTTAATCCTTTCCGCTATAGCAAATAAATAAATAATCTTTCTAAAAAATTATCAGTCAACTTGCCACACAACAAAAACAACATATTCAACGCAAAAAAATCACATACCTCATTCCTTTTTTATACTTAAATTTCCCCTGCACTTTTATTATTATATTTATAATTTATATTAAAATAACAACAATAATCTGAATAGAGGTTCATTATAAAGTCTTCATTTATAGAATTGTGAAAGGAACATGCAAATAGTGTCTGATGCTCTCACCATACAATAAAATAAGAACGTGTTGATCAATTCCATACACATATATGTATATATATATACGCGAATTAAAAACATTTAAGGAATAGAACTTTAGAATTTTTATGCGAAAGTGTATGACAACTCAAAGTTTGGTTTATTTACCGACGCTAACATCGTAGCGTGTATCCGGCGTAATCTGATTTAATTATAAAAAAAGCACTAAGTCAAAAGTCAAGTTCCAATTTTTGTAAACTTTAAAACAAGCATTTAGGCTACGTGAGATCAAGATATTTCCATTGATGCATGAAATATTCATTTGAATTAGGCAGACTATACTTCTTGACTAAATTTGACTCAATCATATTATTATCTATTAGTCACCAATTAAATCAAGATAATTTATTTACCATCAAACTTATCTGAGGCCTTTTCAATAGCTGCTCTCCTGTTGAAAATAAATAAAAAGTCGAATTGACTATGGTCTCATCTCTGTCTTCATAGGGTATCAAAAATGAATCATGAGAGGGTGCTAGTATATAGACACTAAGACAGTAAGTGTCTCAATTTTAATTGGTGGTCCTGATACCATAAGGAGAATATTGAGACTTCTATCAAATTGGGATAATAAATCTATTTTGCAAAATAATTCAGAAATAAAATAAAAAGATATAAATTAAGTAATTTTTTCTGTTGTACTGTGTCAGACCATACCATATAAATATAAATAACTTTAACCTTCTTTTAATAACAATAGCATTCTATAAAATAGGTACAAACGGGTCCTCACAGAAGGATTCCGTTTTTTGTTATTCTCTTTTATAATTACAATTATCGTTCTTATGATTATTTTGTTAAATACTCTCCATTATATAAATTTTGATTTTGTAGAATTTATTATACGTTCCTTTTATAAAAGTATATTACGCTTTTATTGTGTCATTATCATGCCATATTTATGAAAGAAAAGTTTCTGCATATTGATTGGCGATAACAGATAAGAAATTCATGTTAAGGGAAACATAAACAATCTTTATCTCAATAGTCTTTGACAGGATACTTTATATTTCCTTCATCACAGCACGCAAAGTTTTATCTCCCTTTAAGACATATTAAAGAATGATAGGCGACTCAAAATTTTGACGCATTTCTAATTCTTTATTTTTAATTCAACACGCATATGACTAATATTAGGGATTTTAACAATTCTTCATTGATGAAGATGTAGTCATATGGTATTTGCGTAATTAGCTGAATCTTGGGGTTATTTTCTTGTTCACTGGCGGGTCTTGCTCTCAATTCTGAATAAATATATTACGGAATAGATTCATCCGCAACCTGCCACTTATATGTTAATCTTTCCTTATTTGGTCAAGCTTGCGTAGTATTAAAACAGACATAAATAAACCGAAGGTATGAAGACCAAGATGATGTGTCCTTTTGTGTGGTTGCATTTTATTTTCGTTGTTTAGAAGTATCATGCATACAAGGGACTCTAGACTAGGTGCGTTCTTCTAAGTCTTCCTACCAATATTATTAATTTGTGAAAATAAGGTCAAACTATTTCTAGACCTAAATAAAGATTTATTTCCTATAGATATTTGAAGCTTAGTCTGAAATGAATCCGATAATAAAATAGTTTTTGAAAATCTTACTACATTTTAACGCAGAAATGTTTAAATAATTTAGATGAGTAAATCATCGTAGGTACGGAAGTCACCATTTTTATATTGTTTATGTGAGATATATACCTTCCAGATGCATGATCCGTCGTTTTGTACAAATAAATGCTTAGATGTTATTATTTGCTTTAGGTCCTTCAATTTTTCATTTGAAATTTCCTAAATTATTAGATATTTCAATTTGATAAAGGAAAATTTTTTTGATTAATTTATTTCGATATTTATGCAATATTTCTTAAATCTGGATGATTCTTTCGCGCTCTATATTAGTAATTTCTAGTGTTTTTAAAAGATCTCATTATCAAGAGTAAGCAGTAATACCAAATAATAATAGGCATTATATCATTTGTGTAATCGCTAGTCCTTATCAATAACAAGGGAGGGACTTTTTATATCATCTACGTTTCCACTTGCATCAAAATGAAACTCACGTTAACTTGAGTAATGTGCTAATTACACAGGGTGGTAGGACATAAATAATATGCTGCACAATGGGTTGAGTCTGCCTCTAAAACTTAGAGGTCTAAGCTTGTATCAATAGGAATCCATAGTCATTATCAAAAAATAGTGACGAAAGGATTGATTTATAATCATAATTACCTTCATCCTAAAATGAATCTGGACTAAGATGTAAATTAAAAGACCAAGGTTACTAAAAAAGCTAGATATTGGAAAGGGACAAGTAAATCTTTAGGCAACTTATATAATTTATCGAAATTTCCATGGCCTAGATAATTTTGCTGAGCAATATTCCACAATAATATCATGTATGAGTAATAAAGGTGTTTGATACTAGCTAACATCAGCCATATAACGATGTTAATGGTACTATACAGGTTATGATACAACTTCAGAGGCTGGGCAGGTTTGGAACGTAATTAGGCTGGCTCAGTCTATACTCTTTGAACTAGTCATCACTTGCAGTTTAGCAGAGGCCTAACACCCACGGATAATCAAATAACATGCCAAAAAATTTTGAAAAATCAGAATTATACAAGGTCGATACAGTGAGAGGCAAATAGCAGGAATTTCCTGGAATCTGGTAAGCTGATGAACAAGGGAGATAAAAGCCTTTCAAAAATACTCAAATTAGGAAGTACCATTTTTGCTGCTTTCCTTGAGGAAGATTTACTTCTATGTCTCCTGCTTGATAAGCTATAAAGATGCTATGCGATCTGTCCTTAATATCATATCTCACAGAACAGTGTTTCATTTGAAAGCATCATGTTCTCTGTGTTCCTAACCAAAGAGTCTTCAGGGATTGTCATGCATAGAAATGGGAGGCAGTATGGAGAATAAAATATCAAAACGTAATGCAACAAGTGAATGTATAGCCTTGTTGCGGTAAATGTAACCTGTAAAGTTAAACTAGATTTTGATGTAAAAAATATTTTCGAAGCTGCTTTAGGAGCATACGCTAATTATCGCAACAGTTTTTGATTTTATCTGTAATAAGTTTGATATATTGCTTGGCCCATAAGGTCAAAAGTTATGCAAGAGTTGAGCATAACAAGGCTAATAATTTAATTCTGCCCGGATTGCTAATAAATAAAACTAAATTATTCTATATGCAGTTCAAGAAATAAAAATATTAATCAATTTCATTTCCTGCCCATGGTGATTTACTACTTCCATGAAGAAAACCCTCTGAATACCTGTGTTTATATCAAAACAGATATATGAAAATAAATATTACAGGATATATATGTAATGTGTTCGCTGACTTATAAATTATAGATTAAAGAATATCCTATATACACCTAATAAAAAAAAAAGATAAAGCATATAAGAATGTCGGAATAAACCTATTATTAATAATCTTTAATCCAAAAATTCGTTAAACAAATTTTATCTGAGTTATAGCAAAAAGTCATCATTAATTCAAATTTATTATTTTAATTTATTAATTTCACTAAATCTAATAGGAAAAAATAATTCGGTTTAGAATACTAAGGATAGCCAATAATTACAAAATATAACATTTAGATCACTAATGCATTTATCTAACGATTTTAGAAAGTGAGTTTCTTAAGCGGGCATAAATCTTAATTATTAGGATATTCATAGTAGGGATCAAAATTATATATAACATAAAATATAATAAAGGAGATAAAGATTATTTACTTAAGCAGAAAATACCATCAATTCAGAACTTTGATACTATTAGAAACATGCTGTTCCAGGTTTTTGCTAAATTCTCTGTTCTATTTTTCGTAATTTATCTCTAAAGTACATATTAGTAACTTAACGTAAGCCAAATATGCCAAATATTTTTTTATGGAGAAGATCATTTATCCTTTTTATCCAAATGAACACATCAGATTATCTCATATTAGATGTAAGACAAGCTTAAATCCCGGAATAATCTTTGCCAAACTAGCTTAATCAGAAGCAAAAATAATTAATTAGTTTATTATTTCTGGAAGTGTGGCTTGTAATGGCAGGCTCACTGGTCAAAGACAGATATATTAAATGTATTAATGTATTAACTTCTAAATTCAGATCTATGTTATCCTTAATATTTTTGATAGATGAGATGCAGATGAAATTTCAAGAAGTAAGGAGAAATGAAGTCACATTTATATCAATAACTTATATATGTCAAAAACACGAATAGTCTTTTTTATTATGAGAGCTCTTACTTACAAACCATAAGTCTTTTACTGCTTCAGTAAATAGCACATATTATTTTCTGCTTAATTACAAACTAAAGTTCAAAGTAATTAAAATGGAATACCAAGGAAATTATAAATACATAAGGCCAATATGTATAATCCTCATTATCTATTAATATATATGTGAATCTTTAGGATTACCCTAATATTCTTATTATACTATTAAATATACTATTACTAATATTAATATTCACAAATACGAAAAGCTAGTCAGTTTCGAGGCTTATTTTAAGAAGCTTAGAAATCCTAAATCTATATTTAATTGTGATATCAGGTTTACATATGTTCGGACGGTAAATAAGCCTTCTTAGAAAAAGTAAGCTATTGAAAGTAAGTTGTTAATAAGGATAAAATGTTTAAAATACTTTTTTCTTTATTATATGTATATCTTTTGAGCTCTGTCTTGATTGTCAAGTAAAGAAAATACAATTTATATTTTAAATTAAAAGTGAAAATTAGGATCGTTGCTTCAATGAACTAAAAGGTTAAGGTACTTTTAAGCATGGTACACCTCATGGATAGTTATCGGTTCAATCCAACTTTGCAAAAACTTTGAATGCATAAATTATAATGATATTTAGAAGGATCGAAAGAATAACCAAACGCATGCTTGATATATTGTAGCATCGTTTATATGGGTAAAAATTCAAGATAAATGCTATATTTAAGAAATATTAATAAAATTTTTTTTCTATATGAGATATATTCACGTTATTTCATTTAAGGTGACAAAGGACTGGAAGAAGAATTTTCCCACAATGATATTAGCAGAGCTGAGGTTTTCATTGAATTTCACATAACCTTGCTTGCCCAAAGGCTGTAGCCATTCTGGTAGGACTGCATTTTCGACTGATAATTTCGAAACTCCCCTTATATACGAAAAGATAAGTAATGTAGTCGATTGCTATAGCAAACATACGTTTGCTTTATCGACCATCCCACTAAAGAGTGTAATATGGATAAAGGTCTAGCCTTATTTGCAATTCACATCTGCCCTGTGACCCAAGGGCACTCGTGGAAATGTGGTCGAGTGGTTAGCGTGTTGAGCTTACATGCTTCACTATTACGGTTCAACTCCCGCAGGAGCTACTGATAAGACCTATGCGAGGTCGAAACTGCAATCCAACCCGGATGAGAACAACTTTTAGGAAAACAAAGCTATATGAAATTCAAAGAGAACGTCAGTTCTCTTGAGATCATTGTGAGAAATTATTCTACCAGTCCTACATCACCTTAATCGAAATAGGCTGAATACATCACATAACTGATTTACTGGTATTTTCAAAATTCTGCTTATATACGAAAAGTTTTATCTTTGTCTGAACTTATTAAAATGTTGGATTTTATCTGCTCTGAAGTGCAAATTCTTCTCAGAGTTAGCTCTCATTCTATATAACTTATGTAAAGACATTTTTGCCCATGATTTTAGCATGTATGCTTACTGACTATAAATGGCATAAAAATATAGTGACTTGAACATTTTATATATTTTTCAGTTACCAAATTAGCTCATAAAATATATTACTTCATCTATGTTATTACCCTTAGAATTGCTCTTTCTCTGCAATTTTTCATCATAGCTCACTAACAAATAGAGAAAAGTTATACTATTAGTTTAACCAATTTAAAGAACGCCTGTGATGCTAGGGCATCACGTATTTATTGCGTAGTTAGAGAGGGTCAAGTTTCCATGCTAAACAACCTATATCAAAGTTTTTTTCGAGTAGAGGAAAAAAAAGTACAGAGACAGAATATAGAGCTCACATCAGATAGACAAGTCCATATATTCATACACCTTAATGGAGGCTTTAGGTTTCCGATGACACAGGCCAAAGTATGCGACAAATAATCACACACCTAACTTCTCCCTATCCTTTTTACAAGTACGAGATGTGGCATCATTGGATTTTATTTTGTTCCCTCCCTAAGCCTCAATACTATTCTAGTTAAAGTTTCTTTCATTATATATAAAATTAAGATTCTTATTAGTGAGATAGATAATAATGAAATGCATTATGACCCCCTGGTTTTCTCTCCATGTAAAAACACGATTAAAAAAAGTTCATTTATATTTGAAATTACCAGAGGATGTGTCAGAGATAGTATTAGCCATGAATTTCCATTTACCTCACTACCTGATATTCTGGTTACCCAGTAGACCCATTTGTATATTCGGAGTATACAAAATTCCTCTCTTCCAACAGAGTAAACTTAAAGACAAATATTCTCTATATTATTGCGATTTAGAACCATTATAACCTGCTTCAAAGGTCGCGTCAGACTCGAAACCTACGAGCACCTGGAATATTTTGTAGATTTTCTAGGTGAAAATCTTTTACTCATTTAGCAACGTTTAAAATCCCTTGGGGAACTCTGATGAGAGCTAGGCACATACGAGTATAAGGCTAATCCTGGACAATAAGACTTTAGAGGAAAATGATAAGTGAAATTCAATATTAGAGCAAGGATTCATCTGTGTTTAATCGTTAGAATATTTACTATTTTTAAATACCATCGGGAAATCTACAATTACTATACTATTGATATATATATATATATATATAATGCTCTGATCATACGGTCACCTGCATTATGACACTACCTTTAGTTGATTCAGTAGCTAAATATGTGGGAAACAATCAATGGGTTATCTAATAAGTTTTGTATTTGAAACACAAGCTATTTATTGAAATTATACTTTTTTATAAAAATATTAGGTCAACTAGAAGGAATGAATGAATTACTTGAAATACATATATGCAAAAGATTTCTTAAAATCATAGGGGATTTTCTTACCTAATAAATTTCATAGAATTCTTTTTATCATAGAAAAATAGTGGCACTAACCTTTTCATAGATAAGTAAAAATGACAATCTTTTAGGTCATTAAATATAAAAGCATACATAAGGAGCCAACTTTGCTACTAAATATATAAAATAAAACCCCAATTTCATAAATATAGATACATTATTATAATATAAGTTTTAGACTTAAATTATTATTTTAGATATTTTTATTTTTATTTCTGATTACTACGATATATTTTACTTTATGTGCAATGATTTTTTATTAAATTATCAATTAAGAAAGATTTAGCAGGTAAACTCATGGAAATGCTTAGGAGTTGAGTTCTATTACCTCTCAAAATAGTAAGACATTTTATGGCATTTATT